TGAATGCTCATGGTGGAAGTTTTTCTTTTGCTAAAAGGGTGCATTACTCGAGGAATAACGGGATGTGACCAAACGGGGAATGTGAGAGGCCTACACCAGCGACGCTCAGCCATTTACCTCAAAGCCGCTGTTCCTCTCAGAAGCAGGAAGCCCCGGATGAATCCTCAACATGTGTTGCTCCAGCGACCTCCGTTTAGTTTTGAAGCTACAGCTCAGGTATCCACAAACAACAACCCCAACGGGGCCTTTAACGCTATTACCTTAAAACTGATGAATAGCTACGTCCTTCTACCCAGTCAGCTTTCCACCACATGAACTCAACCAACAGCAGCCTACAGCTTTGCACTGAACCTAACACATTATCGCATGGTGAGCAATCTCGGGCAAAAAGCAAGTAAGCCTATCTGTCTCAAATGACTCGACGCTTTCAAACGCTGCGTAGCAGACTGATCCGTTCGTCGCAAGCCACGATTCTTACGACCGGTTGAGAAACCTAGTTATTAGGTATTTTATACTGTCTAGTATGTGAAGTGAATCGTGACTGAAAAAAAATATGTGAAAAACACTGATCTGAGTGTCATTGGAAAAGCAAAATGTCACTACTGACCTGTGCCGTCAGCACTGATATATTATAGTTTATAGTATGCTTCTGGCACCTGCTAAAACCCGTACTGATTATAGCTACTACGTTTGGCGGTATTTTACGGCTCAACTTGCTCATACAGCGAAATGTCAACGTTTCGACGTGTGCTCACACTGCAAGCGAAAGCGAGTGCAGACCAATGCTAAGCTTTGAGTTTCATGGAGCTGGGATGATCTGTTGTAATGTGGTCTGTCTGTTGAACTTTGTTTTCATTCCCCAATTTGGTCACCAATTGGTTCGCAAAAGTGTAAGTTTTTTCACCGATCATATCTGGTAAATCAGAAGTTTGTTTCACCCCTGCAGCCTCGCGTAAGGTTTGCTGCTTTGTAGCTCTTGTATTCGACGCTTTATGTAGGCCCTTATCTTATTTTTAATTCGCCTATTTATCTACGTGAATTATGCTGATTTTCTGATTGCATGTCAGAATATCCACACAGTACATATAGACAATAAAACATGGACACATCGAGACGTAAAATCACACTCTGCAAAATATCGACTCTAACTTCGAAATATAGCTGTACTCAAGATATCGACAACATAACATACCCATACGCGAAATATTAACATGCAAAATATGAGCCCTGCAAATGATTCGTTTCAGTTGATTGAGCCATAGACGTCAATGCTCCTAACAAGAAAATTACACAAATGTGGTCACTAAGTCGCTTACGATCAGCACACTGCTCACAATAAAACCCCAAAAATCAGGACACAGATCGAATTGATTAAGTTGTTTAAGCAAATTAGTTAAAGCTAATTAATGAAATTCCAATTACACGTGGCGCCGGGTAAAGGACGGCTCTGTGAGTTCGTCCTCCAAGAGGCGGCACCTACTTCCGATCGGCCATGCCAAGGTCCTGAGCAAAATGCCAAACTTTTAAGTGTATATTACGAGGGTTTTGTAGGCAACATTGCGGGTTCCAGAGGGAAGTATGCCAATTACTGCGTCGATTTGGTTTGAGCAATGAAGCCACATTTGCAAAAATGGGCACAATTGGACTTATTTACCATCACCCACAGAAGTGGAACATTTTCCCCTGGCAAGGTGTGATGAAAACCAGCCCCATTCCAACTCCCTCCCTCCTCAAAGGTATCTCGTCCTTAATTGAGCGAGAGCAAAGCGAAAACAAAAAAGTTTGGGCCGATACGAGCACAATGACGTCGATTTTTAGTCCCTGATATCACTGCAATCTGTGAGAGGAGAGCAAAGATGTTTGTAGAATAAAACGAGGGGCTTTAACTTGGGTATTATTTATTCTAGTTTACGGCCGTTGAGCAAATAGCGCCGACACAGGAGGAAATGTGTAGTTCTAGTTCAAGCTGTGAGCTTGTTGGAACCACACAGTAAGTGTCTTAAGGTTGCTGAACTTTTGCAATGCCGGTGCTTTGCGATGTGAGCATTTCGTCGCGTTGACATTCTGAAAAAGCGATATTCGCAAGTAAATGTTCTGCGTTTGGCAGTTTTTTGTCGATATTTCTCCCAGCAGTACGTTGTCCGCATGCCTGAATTTTTCCCCTAGAATGAAATACAGATGGGGGCCTGGGCAGACGTGTTATCTCAAAAACAGGAAGATTATGAAATGAATACTGAGGTGGGGGCAGGGGTAAGGGAAAAGGGGAGATGGAAATAAATCACCCAGTTAAAAGCCAGAACTCGTGTACATCTATCAAAAGCACGTGGTAACGCCTGTGGTCACAGGCCACTACTTATTTCAATAAAAGTGCTAAAACAATTGACGGGACGTATGCAAGTTTTCATCAAATCAAGCATTGGAAAGATCAGCATGATATCACTATTGGTTATCAAACTCTTCAAGACGAATCTGAGGGGAGGGGGTCAGGTCTCTTCCTTCCTCCCTCCCCCCTCCTTCACGTCGGAAGAGACCTGCATGCGCTCGGGTAAGGGTTAATTTGACGCCCCCGAAGGTTTTTTCGGAGTGGTTTCCGAACGGTGCGGTGAAGCTGCACCAAATTTTGCGTAGCTGCAGATCAACGAAAAGAAAATATTTTGGTATTACTCATTTTAATGTACCTTGTGAGGTCGCTGACTAATAAATAAAGGAACAAATTCGGCAAATGACTTCCGCATTCATCCATACAAAGTCGGGCTATGGATTCAGCGAAGGCAGTATCAAGGGAATCGTTAAATCTGTTGCAACGACGGTACGTTAGACAAGGTGATACATCTCCGAGATAGCTTCTTAGGCAACACAACAATAGAACTAACAAAGTCCATTGACCCGGGATCAGGTATGAACCTCAGCCCACAGTCAAAACCAACTTGCTTTTTACCGGAGAACTTGCCGCATGAGGTACTTTCTGGTGCCAATTTTGAGTTTATTAATAACAGGCACCACATTGCACATCTTCCACGAACTTGTTAAAGTTCAGAATAGGCCACTGACATAAACTGACCCATCTGAACCCTTTGGTTTTTGGAACATGCTGCCTAGTGTAATCTTTGACGCTTATTCAAATGCAAAACTCAAAGCAGTCTTGTCTGCTTATGGTAACATGACCTTGAAAAGGCTAGACAACCAACCACCCTGGCGCATGCTAAACCTGAAGAAACAGGTACCTCTCAGCTTTCCTATTCATCGCCAACCTCCGAACACCAGCCAGGCCAGTTTCTTAAATTGGTATATTTAAAACAAAGCATTGGGACCATTTGGATATAAATGGTCTTTTTTCAGGTCCACAGCATTGTCAACTTGTTGGAATATCCATATTTTGCCTTGAGACACCAGGGACCGAGATGCGTTTTGTGATTGGTGGGTAAATGTGGCAGGTTATAAAACCGTGCTCAATTTCCTTCTTGGTAGAAAATCAGCCTTTAAAAAATGTGGGCACTAGTATGCTCTATGCTACATTAAGATCGCTGTGTTGAAACAAATTCCCAGAGATGTTTTAGAATGTATTCGTCTACAAAATCATGCATTCCTGACATAACGGCATCACCAGTGCCCTTGTCATCACAGCGCATTTTAATGGCAACTTGCTCGTGCCATGCGGTTATTCATTGTGCGCTTTACAGATCCTTGCAACAACACAAGTCAGAACATGTGTTTATGGACCATAAGGATGGTCGAAGCAACTTCATGTTCCACGCTCCAAAACGAAAAAAATTACACATCATACCATCAAGATCTTCCGACACCACCTAAGACGTAAGGAATCACTAAAGGTATGTACATGGTCTATTTTTCTGGAATTTACATTTTGAAGTCTTGTCAAGAACAGTGAGCGCGAAGCTTTTGTACAGCCTTTGGAAAAAATTCGGCGAATGATTTCTGCATCTATCCATACAAAACGCCACAGTTTAACAGCATAAAGGTCATCGATTGCAAAATTAAGCTGATGCGTGTTGTTTGGCAATGGTAACCATTCTTTTGTTTTAAGCATTCAACTTGGATACTTCAATTTTACCCACAGCTCACATACGCAGGGCGCAAAATGTCACTGCGCCGCTGGTTGCGTTTTTATGCGTTTTCTGCCACGCAACGCCACACACATGTACGTGAAAGAGACAGGGAGAGAGCGGGGAAGCTATATGTACTAAACAAGTGTGTGCTTGTGTGCGCAGGTGTGCATGCATGCATGATGAAGGTGTGTGTGTGTGTGTGTACTCAGACGACCAATGTCATACACACCTGGGATCAATGTCATCAGCAAATGTATGGCCGACTGGCCTCCCGCCGTTCTGTCAGATTTGTCTCGCGGCACGTTTCAACTAGCATATCAACACGTCACCTTCAGCGGGGACCTTCGTAATGGAACCAGGAAAACTTGCATCAGCCCGTGAGAACGCAACAATGAGCGTCGTCCAGTCCCCCCGCTATACTTCAAGACAATCACAACAGCAAGCAAAGCTCCCGAGTTAGTAGCGCTATCATTTCGCGATGAAACATCAGATCATGCAGTGGAACTGGAATATGAACCAAGCGTGAACGCACTGAAAAAACCTTTTTAACGTATCGCTGAAAGTGTATCGCAACCGATTCCAATACACTGCACTGCGTATTGCACTGACATGGCGGAGATGCAGTGCGCACTTCAATGATACTTCTCAGAAGATATTAAATGGATCTGAAAAAGACCATGTCGAGCGAGGCTTGAAACGGTAGCTGCTCAGGCACCAACGAACCGAGCTGAGCAGAAACTGGCAAACCTGGCGCATCCTGAGAGCATGATGTAACGATTCAGGGTGCCGGTAGTGTAGTGCTTAACGCGTCTGCGTTAACCACTGCGCGTCTGGGAAATCAGAGGCACGGGGTTCGATTCCCCGTGGTACCCGCCATTTCTGCCAGCGTGAGAGGCAGGCGACGCCATATAGCCACAGCAACTGAGTGCGTCGTTAAGCCCCAATGACACTGACATGTAACGATTTCGATCCAACAAAGCTCAGCAGCCCCATGCTGTGTGCATCCTGTTGCTCATTACCAGAACCATGCTGAAGTCTGATGGTGCGATACGCTTTTCCACAAGACTAAATGTGCTAGTGGCTGGACAGCAGAGAATTCCACGGGTTGACAAAATGTGAAAGTAACTATATGAAACGGGTGGCAGGTTGATTGGGTGGATATTTTGGAAGAATTGCGGTTATCGGCACGGGTGTGGGTGAACCCTTTACGTAACACCAGGTAAATACTTCAAGAAATGCAGCACGCTGTCGCCGATTACGCTTCTTTTTTGCTCGCAATTCACTTCATTCACAACAATTTTGTAAAAGCAACGCAAAATGGTAAGTTTGGGCGTAAGCTTTCCTGAAACTTTTCCGCACTTAAAACCCGCAGTGAAAATAAACTGGGTGGGTAATGGGTGGGTACAATCGATTACGAATAAGCAGAGGGTGGCTATGGACACTGACCATGAGCATCGAATGGATCGGGTACAGCAACTGTTAGCCTGGAAGGCCTATACTGAAGAGTACATAACTTTCAAAGCTTTGTTTTCATACAGCTGTGCTTTTGAACGCAGCGTCACGGAGCGCCGAGCCTAGGCAAGCAAGGACACAGGCGACGTATTTTCCATTGTGTCGCGTTTGCTTTGGTACGAAAGCTGCTCGTTGTGATCTGTTTTCGCCTCGGTCTTGAAAAGAAAGGTGTGAAAAGGTTGTTTGGCACGCCAAGTCCTTAAAATACATCTCGAAATATTAACCTTCTGAAACACTTCCTTGTTCTTTAGGCGACACCCAAGAACTGCTAACGACCAATGTAAGCACAAGCAGCGCGCACCGCTACGTTCACATGGAAGACACGCAATGGATAAAGGCTAAGCACCCAGCCTGGACAGGTTTGAGCAGTTGTTTTCAAAAGGCTTGCATTGAGCACCGAACGCAAGTACCGATGAAAGACCATCCAAGGCACAAGTACTTAGCACCAAATTGAGGTGAAGCTTGAAAACAGCTGGCAGCAATGCCAGCAACGAAGGAACCATTGTCCCCATCTCCAGAAACATCTGGGTTATTGTAAGCTAAAAGCACATGAAGAGTCACTTCTGGACAGTTCAGAGCATCTTGCAAACCTCGTTGTCAGGTTGGCTCCTTGTCCAGCGTGCTGGCTTGAGCTAATCCTGCCGGGATCGGCATTTCGCGGCATGTTGAGGTAATAAACGACAGCGGCTATGAGATGATCTGGGTTCTTGTGAGACGACGCAGCTTTGGTAGCCCCAGCCTGCCACTTCGATGGCAAACAAAGTCCCGAAGGCATCATGTATGCCCTGACTTCGTCGTTGAATCCACCTCACAGACTCATATATCCGCAACATGCAGTCTCGCTGGCGTGAGCTCCGGTCGCCATCCTCTCGGATCTAGGAAGGGCCTGGAGATGCCATACCATGCAGTCTCGCTGGCGTGAGCTCCAGTCGCCATCCTCTCGGAGCTAGAAAGGACCTGGAGATGACATATCATGCAGTCTCGCTGGAGTAAGTCCCAGTCGCCATCCTTTTGGAGCTAAGTAGAGCACGAAATGTCATGTCATGCAGTCTCACCAGAGTGAGGCCCAGTCACCATCCTCTCGGATCTATGTAAGACCTCAAAATGCCATACCGAACATCCTGCACCACTTCACACCCCCTGGCGGACACACCGAAGCCTCTGTTGCGCAGCAGTTGACCGAGGTTCGGCGGCGGTCTGCGTCTGCGTCTGCGTCTGCGTCTGCAGTCGTCGTCGTCTGCGTCTGCCAAGCTCACACGTTCGGCTGCCACTTGGGGGATGCCGGCCGGGGCAGCTCGGTCTTCACAGCCGGGCTCGGTGCCTCCTGGCCACCGTTCTCGTCCGGCAGCATCTTCTCCTGCTCGTCTGGCGAGGCGAGCGGAGGCTTCTGGTCGCCGTTTGCCGTCTCTTCGCCGCCGCCGCCGCCGGCGCCCATGCCGCCCATCATGCTGAGCATGTTGACGAAGACGTCGCGGTAGGCCTCCATGACGTCGTGGATGGTGTCGGGCAGGGGCCGGTTAGATGTCTCGGGCAGGAAGCGGCACAGCACGGAGGCCAGCAGCGCCAGGCAGCCAGCCGCCACGCCCACGTACTTGGAGAAGTCCAGCTGCCGGGCGGAATGTGACCAGGTGAAGCAGCGCGCCAGAGAAAGGGGCGATAAGACAGTGAACTGTTGATAGCTGATGGCAGATAGTGATTCAATCTCACCATTTGCTGGAGCTGAGAAGCACAGGCCAGTCAGAAATGCTAATGTCGACACAGAATAAGCTATTACAGTGTTTGGATTCAGGGTGATAATGGCACGGGCATGCTACACTTCTCAATTCTCTCTTTACAGATTATGTTTGTACTTTTTGGGTCACCTGGGGCGAGTCAAATCAAAACAAAAACGAACTGAAGCGCGGCCTCGGGGCTGTAACCAGTTCCGAGGGCGCGGGGCTGTAACCAGTTCCAAGGGCGCGCCTCCAGATCAGCCAACGGCCACAAGCGCATGCGCTGACTCATCTGAGTCATGCGTGTCGTCGCAGTGCTTACCATAACGGAGTAGTAGTATCCGAGTCCCGAGCCCAGGAGTCCAAACACGGCCGTCAAGCCGACCAGACTGCCGCGCACCGGCGTCGGGAAGATCTCGATGATGAGCAGCCGGATGGAAACTAGCGCCGAAAACGTGGTGTACTTGGCGACCATCTTTAGTGCCACGTACAGCGGATAGAGGTCAGTGCCATCGCCTGAAATGGTCGAGGTTGAGTAGGGGCTGCGGTCTGTGTTTTCCGTGTGTTACAATGCGCTATCGCACGGGGCTTAAGTGCGGAGGTAAAAGTATGCCAACCTCAGGGAGTTACAGCCATGAGTCCAGACAGTTTTAACGGTGGTTTCCGCTAACGCGCAATGCGCGGTAAAGTACGGAATACCGGGTTTTGGCGACCGTTTATATGAACCTCCTTAGAGTTGAACGTGGCTGCAGTCATAACGAAATATTTTGTGGTCAATAACCAGTGATTGATTGATCAAAAGGTGCGATGGTCAGGTTTGACTGGCAGCACAATTTTCAACTATTTAAACAATTATAGGGTTCTAGGCCTGAAGACGGTGATACGATGTCAGCCCAAAGATGTTTTGTGCCACCGTAGGCTGAACCAAGCCACTTTGAAAGCTCGGGAGTATTTTGAGATGAAGAATAAGTTAAATGTGAGGCAACTTTTGTTAAGTTCGAAGCTCACACGCCTGACAACTGCGCTTTCCTCCATACTTTTACACCAGGCGTGGTTATTTTGAGTGACTAACTGTAGTTCCATACAAAAGGTCGCAGAATCAACTTGATTAATTCGCGTCTAGAGGCAATTATGGAGCCGAATGTTTTAAATATCATCGTAGCTTAGACTGCATTTGTCTTGCAATGCAAATGAGAAAAGCTGGTGCAATCTCGATGATAACTCTATTTGCAAAATTAATAAGACTAGATGTCGCCCATTTGAAATACCGTCACAGTTTTTCCGATGTTCGACCGCTTCTGAAGACACCATATCACGGCATGGCTGACTCCCTACCTGCCTGCAGCGGGCAGAGCGTGGAGCCAATCACGGACAGGCCACAGCCGGCCAGCATCACCATGATGGGCTTCTTGCGGCCAAACCTGTCAGACACGGACGGCACATTGTTAGCCAACAGGAGAAACGGCTACTTCTGGGGCTACCCTCGCTGCTGATGGCTGAGAGTAATACGCATGCCACCAGGGGCAGGCCAGACCGGCCGGTGCCTCAATAGTAATGAACAAACCTGTAATATTGTCAGGTTTCTCAGTTCAAAAGTGTCGGATGTACAATATATATATATATATATATATATATATATATATATATGTACGCATAATAGCCTCCGGCAGCCTCATGTCGTGCTGTTGCAAATATTTTCGACAGCAGAGAAATTCACTGCAATGAGCGGAACCCAGGGCATATCTAAGTACTATCATGCAAAGAACACATACTGAAGCTATGTATGGTACTCGCTGGATCTTAAGTAATTTATGCTAACATTGAGCCAATTATTCCAACGGCGTGAACCACTGACTTCTCAGGCGATCCTGATATATTTTTTCTGAAGTGGATGAAAGATGAGTTCCAGAAAAAAGTTATTCAAAAAAGAGGTGGCCTTCTCACGGAAACCTGTTATCTAAGCGCCTGAATAGGACGCCAAAAGACCGGTTTCAGGCTGTTCGTGACATGACCTGGCGCTCGCCAACTGCACGGCGGCGCGTCACTCCGGTGACTCCGACGTTGCACGGGTGCACGGGGCGCGCCGTTTCCGGATCTCCGGCGTTTCACGAGTGCACGGGGTGCGCCGTTCCCATATCTCCGGCGTTTCAAGAGTGCACGGGGCGCGCTGTTTCCGTATCTCCGGCGTTTCACGAGTGCACGGGGCGCGCCGTTCCCGTGTCTCCGGCGTTTCACGAGCGCGCGGGGCGCGCCGTTCCCGTATCTCCGGCGTTTCACGAGTGCACGGAGCGCGCCGTTCCCATATTCCGGCGTTTCACGAGTGCACGGGGCGCGCCGTTTCCGGATCTCCGGCGTTTCACGAGTGCACGGGGCGCGCCGTTCCCATATTCCGGCGTTTCACGAGTGCACGGGGCGCGCCGTTCCGTATCTCCGGCGTTTCACGAGTGCACGGAGCGCGCCGTTCCCGTATCTCCGACGTTTCACGATGAGACTATGGGGAGCGGGGTTTAAGCAGCACGCCCGCAAGACAGAGGATGTTGTCTGTTATGCGACTGTGTCGGTGTAGGTTTAGCAGTCGCAAACGTGCGTCTCCATTAAGAAGTGGCTAAAAATAACCATATTGTATGTGCCCGTTTCAGGGACGCGAAGCCCGGGTACATTCGTTGCCTCACAAATGCATCAAACGTTTTGGTAGGGAGAGGTTAACAATCAAGCGTACAGCAAGGCACGCCCTATGTGGCAACTGCTGCACGCGATTGACGGAGAATCTTACCAGCCTGCCGGAACAATGAGTCTCCGAAGGCTCATTGACAAGCTCAAGCCAGGAACCGACTAGCGTGACTTAAAGTACGACGATGATGAGACCGTCAAAGTAGTTAGAGAACAGAAGTGGCATCTTGCGCGCCGTTGGCCCGCCGGGAACCAATAAGCCACAGAGGGTCGGGAACGACTACGGTCCAGGTATGCCTGCACGGCGTGCCACATGTGCTTACAAGCACCTGTGGCCCGCATGAGGCTGCTTTGGCGCTGACACCGCCTTAAACATTAAAGCCCCTCCGAGCATCTGTTTGACCGGACCGCGGACGGCGGCAGTGACCAGGCGGCGGCTGATCACCGAAATATGGCGCGAAACAGTTCGCCGCTAGTAAGCACTGTGGGCGCCACGGGCATTCCCGCCAACATTCTGAATCGATAAGGTTGGCTGTTTGACGCGCATCACCCGGGGTGTGTTTTAGCGCCATCATGCGGCGCATCTTGCGGCGCAGATGCCTCTCGCGAAAAGACGTGTCAAAGATGTGTGATCTGCGTCTGCAAGTCAACCAGATGCAGATGGAATGAAAAATCAACCACTCCTCCATTCGTTGCGTTTGGAGCATCTCACTAAGCCGCTTTGCTCTACATTTGTTTTCTTCAACTCCAGTCAGTCAGAGCCATATATACTAAGCCATATATACTAAACCATATAGATCCTGCTTTTATGAGCTCACTACATGCTTAGCTTAGTTTGTGTGCTGCAAGCACCTCATCGCTCTACTTAGTCCCTCCTCTCTCCCTTTCTTCGTCATCATTTTTTCACCATTCACTCTGTTAATCAAATGATGACCCATACCCACCTACTCACATAATTATTTGCTCACTCATTCACCTATCCACTCACTCGCACATCGATTGATGGCTCACACTTACGCACTCATACACATACTCATTCTCTCACTCACTCACTTGTCAACTTACTCACCTACTCACTCACCCAGTCATTAAATCATCGAACCAATCAATCGATCAATCAGTCAGTCAGTCAGCCAGTCTATCTACCAATCAATTAATCAAGCGATTAATCATCAATCAATCAATCAATCAACCAATGAATCAATAAACCGTCCAAAGGATGTGTCATCGAATGGGTGAATCTCTTGGAATCAGCCGAGGCCAAGTTTTTCCTTGGCACACGGATTAGTGATAAACTGTCAGGTCTGTCGCGCCGCACCAATGTTGATATTCGTGGAGTGAGGGCAGTTTTTCTTTGATAGGCCAAGAAAACCGTATTCAATACTAGCGCCACCTACTTTACGTACTGGGATTATCCTCCAACACGCCTCAAACCTGCCACTTTATCCACTACTGGTATTTGGTGGATTAAGTATGAAATAGATATGAAGAAAATCGGCAATACACTGCCAAACAGCTTTTGAGCTGACTTTTTAGAAAATAACATTATTTTTTGTAAAATCCAAAGCTGTGCAGTTATGAGAATGCTCTAGCAGTCCGGGTTAGGTTCAAGTTTGTTACCGCTAACGCATCATTGTGATGTTCATTTGCAATTTATGTGTTTTTGCGTGGGCGATGTGGTTTTATAAGTTAGTTTTTTCGGTGCTGGAACATTTCTTTGAACAATTACTTGCATAAGCATACCGAAGGCTACACGGTCGCGCACAAAACATTTTTGTGACAGGCCACCCTGCTCCACTGTCCCACACCAACTGCCGACTACGGGAAAACCTTGAGCTATATCAGGTGGCTGAGCGAATCGAAGAGGAATCTCGCTAGTACCATCTTTAAGACCACAACGGTAGAAATCGGGGTGCTGTGGACTAACAAAGCAATCCTTGTTCATGATCTAAAATACGTGACAAAGTTTATCGAGAGATTGCTTGATCCCAACAGGGCTATAACCACGAAATCAACGAAAGAAAGAGGGTGACACAGTAACGCCGCCACCGCGAAATTCTACAACCTTCTTGATGTCGCGAAATGCAAGTGCAAGCTTCAGTGCAGCTTCCCATGCCCAGTTGCCTGCACAGGGTATTAGGAGGAGGGCGGCATGAAGGACCAGGGCAGGCACCGGAAGGTTACCCTGGGTTCATATGGCCGGGATACGATTGTGACCAGGGAGGCTCGCGAGATGCGGAGCATCGCCAGACAACTCCAGGGGCATCGTGGCTGGGTCACCAGTCAGGCGGTGTCTGCTGCTGAAACCGAGTCGCCTTCCCCGCCGACTGCTGAGCCCGCGCCGCCTGCTAAACCAGCGCTGGCTGCTAGTGCTGACCCCGCTGACCGCTCCCGGTGTGAACAACGGATTCGCTCAACGGAGCCGAGCCTGCTCCGAGGTGAACAACGAGGTGACCAAGTGGTCCCAGCGCTGGCGAGTCAGCCGAGAGCACGGATTCTTACACGGTTCCGTACATGGTAGAAGGTGACGACGACGCCGAGTGTTCGTTCCGGTTGAGGCCACTGCCACTGTGGATTATAACGCTAAAGATCTGACTAACACCGCACAGGCGGTTGACACCTACAGTGGCTCGAACCGGGCCGATGCTGCTATCATCAACGCCTTTCAACAAGACAGCAGACACGGACAGGCTACTGAAATCAAATATCGTAGATCCTAAGAAAATCTGCAGCGCAAGAAACCGACGGTCGCGAAGGCAGGAGCTACATGAGCCGCACGGAGCCAGACGAATGCCGTCGAGAAACACGTGGTTGTATCACTGAGCCAGGCAGCCGCTACGTGACTCATTTTACCCGAGTTCGGCCGCGCCCTGCACTTATTCAACGAACTACACTCCGTGAGCCCGCAGGGCGATGGTCAAATCAATGTGCTTGGCTGCGATGGCACGGCCGTCAACACCGAAACGATAGGCGACGTGTTCCGGCCGTTTGAGCTGGCCACCGAGTCACCCGTTCGCTGGTTCGTCTGCCAGCTGCACAGCAGCGAGGTGAACTTCCTCCATGCTGCTGAGCCTGGGTGGCACAGCCATGGGATCGAACTTTTTCTGGACCCATTGGCAAGACCTGTGCTGGAGAGGTCTGGGAGAGCGACGTTGTGGTGTTCAAGCCTAGGTCGGGGCGCGCGCCAAACCTGCCGGTCGACCTGATTCAGCAGCTGAGCACTAACCAGCAGCTGCTGTACCCTCTGGCGTTCAAAACGGCTCTGTCTGAAATACGGCGGCCCAGCGACGAATCGGACCATCGATCGAGCCATGTCAGGTGAATATGAAAACGCCTTATCTTCGAAGTTATAGCAATGAGTGTTTAAGGTTTATCAAGTATTAAATTATATTACGTGTGCTCACTGTTGAGCATTTACTTTATCATCATATTTTGTGCCATGTTATGTCGCATCATTTGCTGGTTGGTTCATGCTTACTGGCACATTTGTTTGTATGTATTCCGTCGCATTTAAGGACTCTGGGTATCGGCATGATTACATACATTAAAGGGGTGCAATAATTTTCGCATGATTTGATGCTCAGTTCGTAGCGAATCGCTCTAATATATACGCTTTTGTTTTCAGATGGTTGACACTAGCCGCTCGCCTACCCCTAGTTCACATCTCTATCGAGACCTCCAACAGAGCTCTCAAGGACCTCGTCCAGTGCGTGGTCGGCCACTATGTGCCAGTATGGTCCGCCATCCGGCC